GAGTTGGAAACCAGCCTGGCCAACATGGCGAAACCCCACCTCTATTAAAAACACAAAAATTAGCCAGGCATGGTGGTGCACACCTGTAATCCCAGCTACTCTGGAGGCTGAGATACAAGAATTGCTTGAACCCAGGAGGCGGAGGTTACAGTGAGCCTAGACCACACCACTGCACTCCAGCCTGGTGATAGAACGAAATTCAGTCTCAAGAAAAAAAAAGTGCAATGTGGCGAGCCCGAGCCCAGGGCTGGGCCCCAAACTGCTGTGCTTAGTACATCAACTGAACAGCATGGGGGTTTCACAAGGGCAGCGTGCAAGTGGCTGTTGGGTTTTCCCATCCTGTTGTCACCTGTCATCACCAGGATGGGGAGCAGGTGGTGATGACCACATGGAGCAGTCACACCTGAAAGATGAAGGAAGCTGTGGCATGTATCCAGCCACCCTTCTCTCCCTTTTTTTTTTTTTTTTTTTTTTTTTTGCAGACAGGGTCTTACTTTGTTGCCCGGGTTGGAGTGCAGTGGCACAACTGTAGCTTACTTGGCCTCGGCCTCCAACTCATGGGCTGAAGTGATCCTCTCCCTTCAGCCTCTCCAGTAGCTGGGACTATGCTGGCTATTTTTTTTTTTTTTTTTTTTTTAATTTTTTGTAGAGACCAGGTCTTGCTATTTGTCCAGGCTGGTCTTGAACTCCTGGGCTCAAATGATCCTCCCACATTGGCCTCCCAAAGTGCTGGGATTACAGGAGTAAGCCACCATGCCTGGCCTCCCTCAGCTTTCTAAACTTCCCTCTGGATGCATTTCTTTCCCTTCTTCCCTCCTGATCACCATTTTGTCGTTGCTCTATGGGCAGATACTCCCTGCTGCCTCCCCAGGGGCTCCTCCCCGCAACCGCCCCCCTGCCTCTGCCCCATTCTCTCCTCCCCCATTCTCTCCTCCCCTTCTCCTCTCCCAGGGCCAACCCCCCTGCCCCACTTGGGGAGGGGAGCTAGCCAAACAGACCTGCCTCTGCCCTCCCTGGGGATCCTGAACTGAGAGCTGGGGGGTGGCCTCAGTTTTAGGGGACCAGACAGACAAGGGCTAGCAATGAAGGAAGTACCTTCCAGGGAGAGGGGGCAGCTCTGTGCTGCCCATCCCCTCAGGGAAGAAGGAAAGAGGGTTGGAATAGAGCTCGTCAGACTGGATTTCCCAGGGCTACAGAGGAAAAAAGACAACAGTAATCAGGTGTCTCAAAGAAAAGGTTCCCTTAAGAATCTGCATGCACATTGCATCTCTTAGTAGCAGCTAATTTTGTTGCCTGCTGACTTCATGCCAAGCACTGTGTTAAGTGTTTTATATGTGTTTACTATCCTTAGGAATTTTATGAGATGACTATAAAATCTCCATTTTACTGATGAGGATACAAAAACTTAGAGGTCAGGTTAGTAATTCAAGGTTACATAGAAATATTCAAAGTTGGCTGGGCATAGTGGCTCATGATGATTATCCCACCACTTTGGGAGGCCAAGGTAAGTGGATTGCTTGAGCCCAGGAGTTCAAGACCAGCCTGGGCTGGTAGAGACAAGAAACCTTGTCTCTACAAAAAATACACAAATTAGCCAGCACATGCCAGTAATCCCAGCTACTTGGGAGGCTGAGGTGGGAGGATAGCTTGAGCTAGGGAGGCCAAGGTTGCAGTGAGCCATGATCATACCAGCACTCCAGCCTGAATGACAGAGTGAGACCTTGTCTCAAAAAATAATAATAATACAATTTTAAAATAAACTCATAGTCACAGGTACCAGCAGTTAGGACATGGACACATTGTCTATTTTTTTTTTTTTTTCTTTTGAGACGGAGTCTCGCTCTGTCGCCCAGGCTGGAGTGCAGTGGCGCAATCTCGGCTCACTGCAAGCTCCGCCTCCTGGGTTCACACCATTCTCCTGCCTCAGCCTCCCGAGTAGCTGGGACTACAGGCGCCCGCCACTGCGCCCGGCTAATTTTTTCTATTTTTAGAAGAGACGAGGTTTCACCATGGTCTCGATCTCCTGACCTTGTGATCCGCCCGCCTCGGCCTCCCAAAGTGCTGGGATTACAGGCGTGAGCCACCGCGCCCGGCCACATTGTCTATTTTTTAATAAAAAAAAAAAATTCAAACTTAGTCCTGACTAATCCACCATGCCTCACTGCACATTTCCTATCTACACATAATGATGAGTTTTGTTTTGGCTTTTGTTTTTTGGGGATTTTTTTTTTTTTTTTTTTGACATAGAGTCCTGCTCTGTCGCCCAAGCTGGAGTGCAGTGGTGCAATCTCAGCTCTACAACCTCCGCCTCCCGGGTTCAAGCGATTCTCCAGCCTCAGTCTCCCAAGTAGCTGGGATTACAGGTGTGTGCCACCACGCCCAGCTAATTTTTGCATTTTTTTAGTAGAGACGAGGTTTTGCCATGTTACCCAGGCTGGTCTTGAACCCCTGACCTCAGGTGATCCGCCCACTCTGGGAGGCCAAGTCAGGCGGATCACGAGGTCAGGAGTTTGAGACCAGCCTGGCCAGTGTCTACTAAAAATTCAATTAGTCGGGCATAGTGGTGCGCGCCTGTAGTCACAGCTACTCGGGAGGCTGAAGCAGGAGAATTGCTTGAACCCAGGAGGTAGAGGTTGCAGTGAGCTGAGATAGGCGCCACTGCACTCCAGCCTCGGCAACAGAGCGAGACTCAATCTCAAAAAAAAAACAAAAAAAACAAAAAGAGGCCATCTGACCCAGGGCAGTACAGAGAAGAAGAAAGGGGAATTCTGTGGACCCCCTACATAGGAATAGTACCGCAATTCATAGGCCCTATAGAAGGGCTGGTGTCTGCAGGTTCCTCAGCTGCCAGGAATGACCTCTTTCCACTTCCCCCATGAATGTCCCCTCCCTGAAGCACCATCTCAGCCTATAGAGAACCAAGGAGGAGAAAGGGAAGACTGGCCTCAGCCTTTAGGGCCCATCTTTTTGGGAGCACAGGTGGCCCCTTTCTGGCCTGTTTCTCCCAGGGCCCCCATTCTGGATAGTTCACGGCAGCAGCAGGTAAGAGGAGCTTACCAGCTGCTCCTCTCTCCACCCCAGGGCAGCTTGTCTCATTCTCTCCTCTACCCACCTCCTCTCCCAGAATCCAGGCCACCAGATGGCCAGAGCAGGCTGTGTTTATTTGGGGCCATGGAAACCTGCAGCTTCCTTTTCCTGTTGCCTTGGGTCAGGTGCAGAGCTGGAGCCCAGCCTCAGAGCAATGATGTCATGGAAAGGTTCTGACTTTATTACTTATAACCCCTTAGCCCCGGAACTGAGTGAATGCCTGGTTTTGCTCCCTTGAGCAGCTTATTCCAGTTGCCATGGAGATGCCTCTATTCCCTTTGAGGTCTTGGGACTAAGTCAGACAGGGCAGGACCCAGGAGACTCATCCCAACCTAGAGCCCGAGATATGTCAATTGTCACCCCTTCCTATCTGAGCTTATAAAGTCAGTGCTTGGAAAGCGGTTTCTTCCTTCTTAAAGATTTGCTGTAGCAATGATGCTGTGATGGTAAAAGCTTGGTTTGATGACAATCTCCTGTTTAAATCAGCCAGCATCCCCGGGGGCACATTTTTCTTTTTTTTTTTTCTTTTTTTTTTGAGACGGAGTCTTGCTCTGTAGCCCAGGCTGGAGTGCAGTGGCCGGATCTCAGCTCACTGCAAGCTCCGCCCCCCGGGTTCCCGCCATTCTCCTGCCTCAGCCTCCGGAGTAGCTGGGACTACAGGCTCTTTTTTTTTGAGACGGAGTCTTGCTCTGTCACCCGGGCTGGAGTGCAGTGGCTGGATCTCAGCTCACTGCAAGCTCCGCCTCCCAGGTTTACGCCATTCTCCTGCCTCAGCCTCCCGTGTAGCTGGGACTACAGGCGCCCGCCACCTCGCCCAGCTAGTTTTTTGTATTTTTTAGTAGAGACGGGGTTTCACCGTGTTAGCCAGGATGGTCTCGATCTCCTGACCTCGTGATCCCCCCGTCTCGGCCTCCCAAAGTGCTGGGATTACAGGCTTGAGCCACCGCGCCCGGCCAACACATTTTTCTAGATAAATTATGCTTGTTCCTAAAAATAGAACTCTTCATTAAGAAACAATCGCTAGCATTACTAATAATTATGAACATTTATTTAGCCTTGTTTCCATTTACCACATTGCCTCTCAACAAAGTAACTTAACTAAAGTTTAGCTGTTTTCAAACACTGCTTGCTCTACTTTGAACCTTTTTCAGAATTGGAACTTGTGTGTAGTTCAGCCCTTAACGGCGCTATGAAAGGGTTCCAGTTAGCCGGCAGTTCTCTGAATTCTCTCCCTACTTCCCCAGGGGCCCCCTCTCTCCTGGCTGGAAGAAAGCACCATCTTGCTCCATAAAGCTGAAGGGCGGGGGACGACGTTCCACGTTTTGCAAACCTTTCTTTCGGTGACCCGCCTCCTCCTCCCATCTGGTATTTGTCCTGCAGAGCTGCTGGGTACAAGCCATTACACACACGTGCTCAGCGGGGAATTCGCTCATAGGCTGCCTTGTAAAAAGAGCCTGGCGTTCCTAAAACTCACCTCTACCAGAACCCAACTTTCAAAAATACATTCCTACAGAATTCATTTTATCACTACTCATGAGGTGTCCACGATGTGCCATGGTCTGGGTGCTGGGGATACAGCAGTGAGCCGGTGCCCTCCTGGAGCTCACATTCCAGCTAGGAGACAGCAATTAGACAATTAGGACTGACTGATTTTTGCAAAGGAAGAGAAAAAAGATAAATTAGAGCAGAGTAAAGGGACTGGGAAGCGCGGGGCGGGAGAGGCCCCAGGCTTGCCGGGCAGGCCTCGCTGATGTTTGAATTAGGCAGTGGGCGGTCCAGGCGGAGGGCACGGACTCTGAAAGGGAGAGAAGTGGTGTTTCTGGGGCACACAAGATCGGGGCACTCTTCCTGTAGTAGCTCGCTGTCTGGCCACCGTCTTCCCCCACCAACCAGGCCTCCCGGAGGCGGCCTGCCCGGGAGCATCGCCGGAACCCCAGCTCGCCGCCTCCCCTCGGCGGGCCCTAGAAACCGCGCGGAACCAAAGCTTGAGGGCCACTCGAATTTGCGGACCGCTGGGAGAAAGCGCCCGCCGGAAGCAGTCGCAAGACCCAAGCATGGCGGCCACCGGGTGCCTGCGCTGGAACCTGAACCGAGCCAGAGTCTGGCTGCTCCCACCGCCCGCACGGTGCCCACGCCGGGCGCTGCACAAGCAGAAAGATGGCACTGAGTTCAAGAGCATCTACAGCCTCGACAAGCTCTACCCCGAATCTCAGGGCTCGGACACCGCCTGGAGGGTCCCGGTGAGCCGGGAAGGACTGGACGGAAGGGGCGTTTTGTTAGGCTGTTGGGTGGCGTTAGGAACCCCGGGCCCCCTTGTCCGGATGTGGAGCTACAGCGGGGGGCTACGTGACGGTCGCCGCGGGAGGGGGCTGGCTGTCGGCGCTAACCTGGCCGGGAGTGGGGTGCTTGCTGTAGCGCGAGATGTGCAGGAGCCGAGAAGGCCGGCTGGGTATACTTCTTTCGGGACTGCCAGCTTTTCCACGTTCGTTTCCTTGGTCTTCAAGACCAAATTCCAGTCCCAAGGGGAAATATAGGCATTCTGGCCCCGCAAGGCGGACAATAAAGGCAAGAGGCTGCCAGGTTGTTTGCTACTCTTTGGGACGTTACACTGTCCATTGCCTCCAGTAACCCCAGGACGCGCGAATAAAACGGCTTCTCGATCGTTCCTTCAGGAGCATTTATTTAGCCCGCTGTGTGCAGGCATTGAATCAAGCCCCAGAGCAAGAGAGATAAGACCCACCCAAACCTGTTGAGCTTCCACTTACAGGACTGGAAAAGAATATCCACTCATTTGTTCGTTAATTCACTCACTCACTCAACAAAAGCTGTGCTAGGCTAGGGGATGGAATAGCAAACAAAATTGAAATTCTTTTTTTTTTTTTTGAGACGGAGTCGCTCTGTCACCCAGGCTGGAGTGCAGTAGCCGGATCTCAGCTCACTGCAAGCTCCGCCTCCTAGGTTCACGCCATTCTCCTGCCTCAGCCTCCCGAGTAGCTGGGACTACAGGCGCCCGTCACCACGCCCGGCTAGTGTTTTGTATTTTTTAGTAGAGACGGGGTTTCACCGTGTTAGCCAGGATGATGTCGATCTCCTGACCTCGTGATCCACCCGTCTTGGCCTCCCAAAGTGCTGGGATTATAGGCTTGAGCCACCGCGCCCGGCCCAAAATTGAAATTGTAAAGCTTGTGGAGCTTATGTTCTAGTGGAGGGAGACAGGCAATAAGTAAATGGACTAATATGTGAGGTAGTACTTTGGAGAAAATAAAGCCAAGAAGGCAGAAGTAGTGCCAGAGGTAGGGAGTAGGATTGCAACTTTAAGTAGGATTGTCTAAAAAGGCCCTCAATGAGGTGACATTTGAATAACAACCTGGAAGAAGCCAGACAGCAAGTCATGAGAATAGGGGGGAGATGAGCATCGCAGGCAGAGGGAAGAGAAAGTGTAATAACTTGAAGGCAGTAGCAGTCCCTAGGTGTGGCTCAGCAGGCGAGTCAGGAGGAAAAGCCAAAGAGAGGGATGGCTGGGAAAAGGCCTGTTTCTAGGACTTACTGGCCTCCAGCCTTTCCTCTGAACGCAAGGCAGACCTATTGGAGAGCTTGAAGCAGGAGAATGGAATTATTTTAGTTTTACAAGGATCACTCAGAGAGCCTTATAGAGAACAGATAGAGGATGCCAAGATCAGGGAGACAAGTAAGGAGATTGCAGTATAGGGCAAGAGATGATAAGCAGGGTGGAAGCAGCAGGAGTCATGAGAATTGGTCAGATTCTAGACATATTTTGGAAAGAAAGCCTGCAAGATTTGCTAACTGATTGGATATGAGAAGTGAGAATAAAAGAGGAATTGAAGTCTGGGGCCTTTTTTTTTTTTTTAAGACGGAGTCTTGCTCTGTTGCCCAGGCTGGAGTACAGTGGCACGATCTCTGCTCACTGCAACCTCTGCCTCCCGGGTTCACGCCGTTCTCCTGCCTCAGCCTCCTGAGTAGCTGGGACTACAGGCGCCCACCACCACACCTGGCTAATTTATTTATTTATTTATTTGGTAGAGACGGGATTTCACCGTATTAGCCAGGATGGTCTCGATCTCCTGACCTCGTGATCTGCCTGCCTCGGCCTCCCAAAGTGCTAGGATTACAGGCGTGAACCACCATGGCTGGCCCTTTTTTTTTTTTTTTTTGAGACAGGGTCTCACTCAGTCATCCAGGCTGGAGTGCAGTGGCGTGATCTCAGCTCACTGCAACCTCTGCCTCCTGGGTTCAAGTGATTCTTGTGCCTCAGCCTCCTGAGTAGCTGGGATTACAGGCATGCACCACCATGCCCGGCTCATATTTTTGCATTTTTAGTAGAGACAGGGTTTTCACCATGTTGGCCAGGCTGGTCTCAAACTCCTGACCTCAAATGATCTGCTCGCCTCAGCCTCCCAAAGTGCTGGGATTACAGGCGTGAGCCACCATGCCCAGCCAGGTCTGGGGCCTTGAGCAATGAAAGGATTGAGTTGCTATTAACTGAGATGAGAGATGTTTATTGTATACCTACTGTGTCAGTCACTACTTCAGTCTAGCATATACAGCCATGATAAACAAAATAGACAGGATCTCTCTCCTTTGTGGAGCTTAATTCTAGTGGAAGGAGCAGGCAGTAAACAAATAGGGAAACCATTAGGTAGTGAGAGGTAGTGTGATGCATAGACCAGGGTGCTGCAACAGAGTGCTGAGGCTACCTCAGCTTGTTAGTAAGGGAAGTCCTCTGAGGAGACTTAAGGTTTGAGTCCATTAGACATCTGAGAAGAGACGCTGAGTAGTCGTTGAGTATATGGGCGTGGAGTTGAGGAGAAAGGTTTGAATTTGAGCCAGAAAGTTGGGTGTCAAAAACAGGCTATTTTCTGGCCAGGCACAGTGGCTCATGCCTGTAATCCCAGCACTTTGAGAGGCCAAGGTGGGAGATCACTTGAGGTCAAGAGTTCAAGACCAGCCTGGACAACATGGTGAAACCCCGTCTCTACTAAAAATACAAAAATTAGTCAGGCGTGGTGCACACACCTATAGTTCCAGCTACTCAGGAGGCTGAGGCAGGACAAGTCACTTGAACCCAGGAGGCAGAGGTTGCAGTGAGCCGAGATTGCACCACTGCACTCCAACCTGGGCGACAGAGTGAGACTCTGTCTCAAAACAAAAACAAAAAACAGGCTATTCTCATCAGCATAGATGAAGTATTCTAGGGAAAGAAAGAGAGAGAGAAGTATTTCAAGGGCATGTCAGTGTTTAAAAGTTGCAAAGAGCTATCTAAGGAGAGTGAGAAAGAGTCCTAGGAAGGTAAGAGGAAAATCTCATGCTTCAGGAAGGAGGGTGTGGCCCATGATCTTCAGTGCTGCAGACAGGTGGAGTAGGATGAGGGTTGCACCCCAAATAATTCTTTTTCTTTTTTTTTTCGAGATGGAGTCTCACTCTGTCACCCAAGCTGGAGTGCAGTGTCCCAGGCAAGAGTGCAGTGTCATGATCTCAGCTCACTGCAACCTGCATCTCCTGGATTCAAGCAACCCTCCCGCCTCAGCCTCCCCGAGTAGCTAGGATTACAGGTGTGTGCCACCATGCCTAGCTAATTTTTTTGTATTTTTAGTAGAGGGGAGGTTTCACCATGTTGGCCAGGCTGGTCTCCAACTCCTGATCTCAAGCGATCCACCCGTCTGGGCCTCCCAAAGTGCTGGGATTATAGGCGTGAGCCACCGCACCTGGCCAACTCCCAAATAATTCTAAGATAAAAGAAATGAAGGCAGGCTGGGCATGGTGGCTCACACCTGTAATCGTACCACTTTGGGGGACAGATCACGCCTGTAATCCTAGCCAAGGCGGGCAGATCACTTGAGGTCAGGAGCTCGAAACCAGCCTGACTAACGTGGTAAAACCCCATCTCTACTAAAAATACAAAAAAAAATAAGTAAATAACTGGGCGTGGTGGCATGTGCCTGTAATCCCGGCTACTCAGGAGGCTGAGGCAGGAGAATCACTTGAACCCAAGAGGCAGAGGTTGCAGTGAGCTGAGATCACACCATTGCACTCCAGCCTGGACTACAGAGCGAGACTCCATCTCAAAAAAAAAGAAATGAAGGCAGTTAGGGAGAGTGCACCTGAGGATACTGATGCTTTGAGCCTGGAGGGCCAGAAAAGCCTCGGAGTGGGTGGCGTTTGCACTGGGCCTTGTGGACACAAAGATTTAAGGCTGAAGGGCATTGCTGCTTGAGGAACGGTAAGGGAGAGAGAGACATGGAGGTGAGAAGTCCTAGAGTGAGTAGTTAGTTTGACAGAAGCCCTCAAGGTGCATTTACAGTCACTGTCCAAGATGGACTGTATCGTGTAGGAGTCTCCTGTGGCCGGGAAAGAACAGGGTGGCTTGCCAGGCTTTTTTTTTTTTTTTTTTTTGAGACGGAGTCTCACTCTGTCGCCCAGGCTGGAGTGCAGTGGCCGGATCTCAGCTCACTGCAAGCTCTGCCTCCCGGGTTTACGCCATTCTGCCTCAGCATCCCGAGTAGCTGGGACTACAGGCGCCTGCCACCCCGCCCGGCTAGTTTTTTGTATTTTTTAGTAGAGACGGGGTTTCACTGTGTTAGCCAGGATGGTCTTGATCTCCTGACCTCGTGATCTGCCCGTCTCAGCCTCCCAAAGTGCTGGGATTACAGGCTTGAGCCACCGCACCTGGCCGGCCTGCCAGGCTTGTTACTCCAGGTTGACAGAGGGTGTTGGTTTTGGAGGCTCCCTGATTCATGTGCACTGTGGTTCCTCCTCCCGCTGGAGCCAGGCCTCTGATGGTGCCTGACACTAGCTAAGGCTAGGGCAGGGAAGGCTGGAGACATCAGATCCATTCTCCTAGAGGAGTGTTTCTGAGGTGGTACCTCTGGAGTCTAAGGATGCTTTTTCTGTCATTGTGATATGATTTTGCAGGGGACCTGAAAATGCCAATGTATAATGTTTGTGTTGTGACTTTACATCATTTCTTTGTTGCCTTGAACCAGTTAGGAGTCACCCAGCAGGTAATACTTATTTGACAGTGTGTACGTTACATTACAGGATGGTGCAAAGCAAGCCGACAGTGACATCCCTCTAGGTAAGTAATTTTGTTTTCTTAAAAATCGGTTGGCTGCATAGTGGCATGTGCCTGTAATCCCAGTTACTCGGGAGACTGAGGCAGGAGAATTGCTTGAACCCAGGAGGTGGAGGTTGCAGTGAGCCAAGATCGTGCCATCGCACTCCAGCCTGGGCAATGAGAGCAAAATTCTGTCTGGAAAAAATAAAAAATTAAAAAAAAATCAGTTGGCCAGGCATGGTGGCTCATGCCTGTAATCGCAACAATTTGAGAGGCCAAGATGGGTAGATCACTTGAGGCCAGGAATTTGAGACCAGCATGGCCAACATGGTGAAACCCCATCTCTACTAAAAATATAAAAATTTGACCAGGCACAGTGGCTCAACGCCTGTAATTCCAACACTTTGGGAGGCCAAGGCCAGTGGATCATCTGAGGTCAGGAGTTCAAGACCAGCCTGGCCAACATGGCAAAGCCCCATCTCTACTAAAAATACAAAATTAGCCGGGTGTGGTGGCGAGCGCCTATAATCCCAGCTACTTGGTAGGCTGAGGTAGGAGAATTGCTTGAACCCAGGAGGCAGAGGTTGCAGTGAGCCAAGATTCTGCCATTGCCTGGGCAACAGAGCGGGACCCAGTCTCAAAAATAAATAAAATAAAAATACAAAAATTAGCTGGGTGTGGTGGTGGGCGCCTGTGATCCCAGCTACTCGGGAGGCTGAGGCACGAGAATCACTTGAGCCTGGGAGGCAGAGGTTTCAGTAATCTGAGATTGCACGACTGGACTCCAGCCTGGGTGACACAGTGAGACTCTGTGTCAGAGGAAAAAAAGAAAAAAAATCAGTCATTTCTCTCATCCCTCACACATTCCTTCCAGATCTCTCCAGCCCAATTAAAGAGACCGTCTCTGGGTGTGCAGAAGTAGAATCTTTGTAGCATTATTTAGAATAGCAAATGATGGCGTGGCCACTCACATCATACTGTGCTGTGTGCCACCTGAGTGGAGAGCTCTTGACATTCTCATGACGTGGAGCACTCTTTACAATAGATGAATCGAAAGAGGAAGACACAGGAGAGTTTATAAGCTACCATTCGTGTTTTACATATCTATATCTCTGAAATATCTTTTTTTCGGAGTCTCTCTCTATCGCCCAGATTAGAGTGCAGTGGCACGATCTCTGCTCACTGCAAGCTCCGCCTCCCAGGTTCACACCATTCTCCTGCCTCAGCTTCCTGAGTAGCTGGGACTACAGGTGCCCGCTACCATGCCCGACTAATTTTTTTTTTTTTTTTTTTTTTTTTTTTTTTGAGATGGAGTCTGCCTCTGTCACCCAGGCTGGAGCGCAGTGGCCGGATCTCAGCTCACTGCAAGCTCCACCTCCCAGGTTCACGCCATTCTCCTGCCTCAGCCTCCCAAGTAGCTGGGACTACAGGCGCCCGCCACCTCGCCCAGCTAGTTTTTTGTATTCTTTAGTAGAGATGGGGTTTCACCGTGTTAGCCAGGATGATGTCGATCTCCTGACCTCGTGATCCCCCCGTCTCGGCCTCCCAAAGTGCTGGGATTACAGGCTTGAGCCACCGCGCCTGGCAATTTTTTGTATTTTTTAGTAGAGACGGGGTTTCACCGTGTTAGCCAGATGGTCTCGATCTCCTGACCTCGTGATCTGCCCGCCTCAGCCTCCCAAAGTGCTGGGATTACAGGCATGAGCGACTGCGCCTGGCCTGAAATATCTGTTTCTGAATATCTGTATCAATATATCTGTGTCTATTTTTATATCCATATCTGTGTAGAAAGATATCTAGATCTGAAAGGAATGCAGTGACTGCCTGGAGGAATAGAGAGATAAGACAAACTTGGTGACTGGGAGACAAGAGTGAGAGACATTTTCATGTAAATAAACTATTTGCATAACTGTAAAATTTTGTACCTGTCAAGCATAAGCAAGGCCTAACAGTTACAGCCTGTAAAGAAACAATGAGCCTTTTTGAGATTCAGAGAGCGTATGACTTCCATAGGCAGTGCAAGGAAGAGCAGCCAAAGGTGCTGGTTCCCTGTGGCCCTTGCTCAAGATGACTCTGAAACAGAGGCCAGATGACCGCAACCCAAGGGACAGGATACCCTGTGGCTGAGTAGCCATATGCTGCAGCAAAGCAGTTTTATAGCTTGAAGCTGTGCCTGCCTGTAGTCTCAGCTCCTTGGGAGGCTGAGGCCGGAGGATCCCTTGAGCCCGGGATGTTCGCTTGAGCCTGGGATGTTGAGGCTGCTGTGCCACTGGACTCCAGCCTAGGTGCCAGAGTGAGACCCTGTCTCAAAAAATAAAAACGAAGCTGTGCCGTAAGGGCAGCATGTGTGTAGGGGAGGAGGCAGAAAGCCTCCTATCTCATCAGAACTGGAGGTGAAGAGAAGTGTCTCGTGACAGCCTCCTAGGGGGAGACAGGCAGGCAAGTGGGCAGTGTCCTGGTAGTAGCTCCTCACCAGCCTCCCACACTCTCATGAATCCCGAAGCATTCCATTCCTATAAAGACTTCGGTCAGCTGCAGCTCAAGCTTTGCCCATGTGCAAGGCTGCCAGCGATCACCATGGCAGAACTGTTCCCTTGCAGTGGCACGTGCACTTGTTACCTAGTCAGAAAGCAGATTTAATTTGATTTTTCCAAAGGAGGAAATCCTCTTAAAAGCAGTCCCAAGATGAGTCACTACTGCTTACTGAGGCCAGCTCTCTGCCACCGTGGTGCCACAGTTCTTTGCCACCCAAACTTCTTGCAGTTTCTCAGATTTTCCCATTATAATGCCTTCCCTCCATTCCTCAGATATGACAAGACTGCTTCTCATTAATTATAAAAAGGGAAGGATGAAACCTAATTTTATAGATTAAAAACAAACAAAAATTAGACCAAGAAAAACAGTGAGACTTTGACAAGATCATGGTCACTTCGTGATGGAGCCAGTGTTTGAAGCTAGAGCTCCCAGCTCCTCATACATCCAACAGATGTTTTAACACTGACTGTGAGCTAGGCCCAGGGAACAGCCATGAACACACCATGAATTAGACACAGTCCTGCCCTCTTGGAGCTTATATAGTCTGTTGAGATTCCACATCCACATCTTGGATGAAACTAACTCCGTCCCTTAGTTTGAACTTTTGAAATAATCCTTGTTTTAAAACAAACAGAAAACAAGCAGCAAGGCCGGGTGCGGTGGCTCAAGCCTGTAATCCCAGCACTTCGGGAGGCCCAGACGGGCGGATCACGAGGTCAGGAGATCGAGACTATCCTGGCTAACACGGTGAAACCCCGTCTCTACTAAAACATACAAAAAACTAGCTGGGCGAGGTGGCGGGCGCCTGTAGTCCCAGCTTCTCGGGAGGCTGAGGCAGGAGAATGGCGTAAACCTGGGAGGCGGAGCTTGCAGTGAGCTGAGATCCGGCCACTGCACTCCAGCCCAGGGGACAGAGCGAGACTCCATCTCAAAAAAAAAAAAAAAAAAAAAGAAAACAAGCAGCAAAAAGTGAGGGCAGCAGATCAGGTGGAATGTACGGGGCTAGAAGCAGCCAGCCAAGTCCTGATTTTACTTTTGCTATCTGTGTGACTTTTGAGAAAATTACTCTAATTTCAGTTTTGACATCTGTGAATAATCTCCAGCTTCACTGATCCAGATGTTACATTTATATATATAGTTGGCCCTCTGTATCTGTGAGTTCCACATCCACAGAGTCAACCAACTGTGGATCAAAAATCTTTGAAAAAGAGGCTGGGCATGGTGGCTCACACCTGTAACCCCAACACTTTGGGAGGATCACTTTAGCCCATAAGTTTGAGACCAGCTGGGGCAACATAACAAGACCGCATAACTACAAAAAATTTTTTAAAAAATAATCAGCAGGGTATGGTGGTACATGCCTGTAGTCCTAGCTACTTGGGAGGCTGACGCAGGAGGATCACTTGAGCTCAGGAGTTTGAGGCTGCAGTGAGCTATGGTCGCTGCAGTGAGCTTTGATTGCGTCACTGCACTGTATCCTGGGTGACGGAGTGAGACTGTTAAAAAAAAAAAAAAAAAGGCCGGGCGCGGTGGCTCAAGCCTATAATCTCAGCACTTTGGGAGGCCGAGACGGGCGGATCACGAGGTCAGGAGATCAAGACCATCCTGGCTAACCCGGTGAAACCCCATCTCTACTAAAAAATACAAAAATCAGGCCGGGCGCGGTGGCTCACGCCTGTAATCCCAGCACTTTGGGAGGCCGAGGCGGGCGGATCACAAGGTCAGGAGATCGAGACCATGGTGAAACCCCGTCTCTACTAAAAAATAGAAAAAAATTAGCCGGGCGCAGTGGCGGGCGCCTGTAGTCCCAGCTACTCGGGAGGCTGAGGTAGGAGAATGGCGTGAACCCGGGAGGCGGAGCTTGCAGTGAGCCGAGATTGCGCCACTGCACTCCAGCCTGGGCGACAGAGCGAGACTCCGTCTCAAAAAAAAAAAAAAAAAAAAATCTAGCCGGGCGAGGTGGCGGGCGCCTGTAGTCCCAGCTACTCGGGAGTCTCAAGGCAGGAGAATGGCGTGAACCCGGGAGGCGGAGCTTGCAGTGAGCTGAGATCCGGCCACTGCACTCCAGCCTGGGCGACAGAGCGAAACTCCGCCTCAAAAAAAAAAAAAAAAAAAATTGAAAACAAAAAGGATGATTGCAGCTTGTGCAGAATTTTTTTCTTCTCATGATTCCCTAAACAATACAGTATAGGCCGGGCGCAGTGGCTCACGCCTGTAATCCCAGCACTTTGGGAGGCTGAGGCCTGATCACGAGGTCAGGAGATCAAGACCATCCTGGCTAACATGGTGAAACCTCACCTCTACTAAAAATACAAAAAATTAGCTGGGTGTGGTGGCGGGCACCTGTAATCTCAGCTACTTGGGAGGCTGATGCAGGAGAATGGTGTGAACCTGGGAGGCGGAGCTTGCAGTGAGCAGAGACCGTGCACCACTGCACTCCAGCCTGGGTGACACAGCAAGACTCTGTCTCAAAAAAAAACACACACACACACACAAAAATACAGTATAACAAGTATTTACATAGTGTTTATAGCATTTATATTGTATTAGGTGTTATAAGCGATCTAGAGATGGTTGTAAGTATGCAGGAGGATATGTGCAGCTTATTTGCAAATATACCATTTTATATCAGGGACTGTGCGTTCACAGATTTTGGTATCCACAAGAGTCATAGAGCCAATCCCTGATAGCTACTGAGGGATGACTGTATATAAAAGTCATTGATTGGGAGGCCGAGGCGGGTGGATCACGAGGTCAGGAGTTTGAGACCAGCCTGATCAATATGGTGAAACCCTGTCTGTACTAAAAATATAAAAATTATCCAGGCGTGGTGGCGCGTGCCTGTAATCCCAGCTACTCAAGAGGCTAAGACGGGAGAATTGCTTGAATCCGGGAGGTGGAGGTTGCAGTGAGCCGAGATTGCGCCACAGCCCTCCAGCCTGGGCAACAGAGCGGGACTCTGTCTCAAACAAACAAACAAAAAAAGGTCATTGAAAGAGAAAGATATATAATAGGGATAGCTGTGTTGATAGTTAATTAGCAGTTTGCACATTTGCCATGAGGTAATCAGTTTTGTGTGTGTACTTTCGTACTTTCTTCTGTTTTACAGATCGCTTGACAATATCTTATTGTCGGAGTAGTGGTCCTGGGGGGCAGAATGTGAACAAAGGTACGGGGTGCCTTGTTGCTTTCTTTTGCTTTAAAATGTAGCTGGGAGGTGGGCTTGAGGAACTCTGGTTTATGTTCATATGGAATAAAGGGATTTTTCAGCAGAAGCTTTAATACTGCCGGCTTACAATAATCCTCTCTATTCTTTTGAATGTGGTCTGATTCTCAGACATTCAGCTGTGGGTTGCTAGGACTAGGATCGGCTTGTGAGTCTAAACAAAGAGAAATCACAGTGTGAGGTGGCAGCTAGCTCCAAGAACAGGTTTCCTTCATTCCGGTGCAACCCGTTCCCTCCATTTTTTTTTCAACCCAGTAAAACTGTAAGAGAAGCACTGGGTGCTTAGTTACCAGAAGTCTATTTTTGCCCAAGAGTGCCTCACTGTCTTTGCAGACTTGTTCATAGCCAACTTGGACATAGGCTAGAATGTACATGGTTAGGTCTCTGGCCTCCCTTTGTTTCAGGATGGTCACTGGTCACCCAGGGGTTGATCCTTCCTGGAAGTCTCAGGCACCCATGCTCCCTTCTCCCTTTCATCCACAGTGAATACCAAGGCGGAAGTCAGGTTCCATTTGGCAACTGCCAACTGGATCGCAGAGCCTGTGCGGCAGAAGATAGCCATCATGGTAACCACCATTCCTTTCTTCCCCTAGAAATCCCTCAGTGGCTTTTAAACCTTTACTCTGTAGGACTCCAGTTTTTCCTTTGTCTTCTGCAGCATAAAAACAAGATCAACAGGTTAGGAGAGTTGATCCTCACCTCTGAGAGCAGCCGCTATCAGTTCCGGAATCTGGCAGACTGCCTGCAGAAAATTCGAGACATGATCGCTGAGGCCAGCCAGACACCCAAGGAGCCAACAAAAGAAGATGTTAAACTTCAGAGAATCAGGTACCAGGAAATGCCCTAAGTTGCTATAAACTGATTTGTGTGGACAAGAGTCTACACAGGTAAGGAAGGGGCAGGGGAGAGTCCAAGGCTGGCCATGGGAGAAGCTCTAGGAAGAGGAGGATGCTGACCTGGGACGGAGGCCTGCAGGCTAGTGCCTGCTGGTATAACTGCTCGGCTTCCTGGCTTCCCGTTGAGCTTCCAACTCCTCTTGCCACTTTGAAAAGCACTGATAGAGCATCTGGGCCTAATTGTAGTCTTTTTGTTTTCAGGATAGAAAACATGAATCGGGAAAGGCTGAGACAAAAGAGAATTCATTCTGCTGTAAAGACAAGCAGGAGAGTTGACATGGACTGAAATCACCCTCTGCAGCTGGGAGGGCTCGTCTGGGTGTCAGGGCAGCTGCAGCTGAGAGGCCTTTCACACCATAAGGAGATTTCCTTTTTTCTTTGTGGCTGTTAATGCTTGTCTATAACATTGGAGCCATCACAAGAATGTTCATTTGGAATGAAGGTTACAGGCACTGGTTGCAAAAGTCTTTATAGGCAGTCACCATATTGTCAAACCTTAATAATGCATCTAATGTGTTAGCCACAATAAAATTCAAAACTCCTTAGGTTTCCCTTCTCATTCAGAATGCTTCAGAAAACAATTCCTACCTTTTATCTCAGTTAAATCAGCTGCACAGTTACTGACACAGCACTGGGGAACAGGAAAGGGTTCTGGTGTCTGCTGTGAAAGAACACACAGGCCAGGCATGGTGGCTCATGCCTGTAATCTAAACACTTTGGAAGCCAAGGCAGGAGGATCACACGAGGTCAGGAGTTCAAAACCAGCCCGAGCAACATAGGGAGATCTAATCTCTACAAGAACTACAAAAATTAGCCAGGCGTGGTGACACATGTCCATAGTCCCAGCAACTCGGGAGGCCAAGGCAAGAGGATCACTTTGAGCCCCCAGGAGTTCAAGGTTGCAGTGAACCGTAATTGAACCACTGCACTTAAGCCTGAGCGACAGAGCAAGACTGTGTCTCACCAAAGAAAAAAAAAAAAAGAAACTGCCTTGGTGGCTCACACCTGTAATCCCAGCACTTTGAGAGGCTGAGGTCAGTGGATCGCCTGAGGTCAGGAGTTCAAGACCAGCCTGGCCAACATGGTGAAACCCTGTCTTTACTAAAATAGGTGCTGGGTATCTGTAATCCCAGCTACTCAGGGGTCGAGGCAGAATTGCTTGAACCCAGGAGGCAGAGGTTGCAGTGAGCCAAGATCACGCCACTGCACTCCAGCCTGGCGACAGAACCAGACTCCGTGTCAAAAACAAAACAAACAAAAAAACCACCACACACACAACCAGGTAGGAGGGCTGAGACAGGTAAGTGGGCATTTGAGCTGGGCTATGGAAAAGGCATAGGACTTTCATCAGTAGAGGGGAGGAGGACATGCCATTTGAAGGGAATAGTTTGAACACAGGAGACTGCAGAGGCTGAGGTGGAGGGGGTGACAAAGAAGGCAGAAGCACTGAATGGTGGATTCATGCAGGGCGATCCACCATTGCAGTGGGAGGTGAGCCTGGAGAGAGACCAGCTTGATGTGGAGAGCCTTGAATTCAAGTTAAGGAGTTTAGGTTTTTTTATTTTGAGATGGAGTCTTGCTCTGTTACCCAGGCTGGAGTGCAATAGCGTAATCTTGGCTCACTGCAACCTCCTTCGCCCAGGTTAAAGTGATTCTCCTGCCTCAGCCTCCCCAGTAGCTGGGGTTACAGGTGCATGCCACCATGCACAGTTAATTTTTGTATTTTTGTAGAGATGGGGTTTCACCATGTTGGCCAGGCTGGTCTTGAACTCCTGACCTCAGGTGATCCACCCACTTCGGCCTCCCAAAGTGCTGGGATCACAGGCATGAGCCACTGCGCCCAGCCAAGGGGTTTAGGTTTTAAGAGACATGGGTAACAGAAAGCAGTTGGGAGAAAAGCTGTGTTGGAAGAGAAGCTGAGGCAGCGCTTGCTTGTCAGCTAGACTTGCTGGCTCCTTGCTTCTAGCACTCCCATTATCTCAAGTAGTCATATGTTATATGTTTCTCAATCACTTGATACACTGTTTCCTTTCAACCCCCACATCCTCACCACCTGTTTCTTTGAGCACCAATAAATACTGTGGGCTCCCAGAGATCAGGGCCTTCACAGCCTCCACATGATGGCCCCCTGGTCCCACTCTCTCTCTCAAACTTGTCTTTTTCTAATTCCTTTAACTCTGCCAGACTTTGTTGCCCCCATGACCTGGTGTTGGGTCTGATCACCCCAACATTCCCAACGTGAGGTGACAAAGACCCTGGTGAAGGAACGCTAGAGCATGTGAAAGCGGGGGACGCATCGTCAAAGGACACCCGAGGGCGTCTAAACAAAGCTCGACAGGAAAGCTGAGCGCTCAGAAGAACTAGGGTAACAATGGGATAAAGTGAAAGCAGATATTCTGCTTATTTAAATTTCTTAAGGCATTTATTATGAAGAGGGGGAGTGAAAGTTAGTACTCAGAATTTGTTATCACTCTTTAGTACAGTAAAGCAGTTTTGCCCATGGTTTCCGAAATAAGGGACTATGGAGTTAGATGAATGGCAGAGAATTGGCAGAGATTTTTAAAAGGCGTATAAAGAAGGAGCAGAAATTGGAGTTTCTGTTTGGTTAGTGTGGGTGCTAATAAAGGCAGCTCTTCAGCCATTTCAAAGAGATGATGAGGCAGATTCAGAGGAGGACGAGTGTAAAAAACTAACTTCAGATTCTGAGTGTGAGGAACAGCTACCGGAGGAGATTAAAGAAAAGAAAGGAAAACTAAAAAAAGTATGTTCTATTAGCCTGCCAGCTCCACCTGCTGAATTAAGTGAACGGCCACCTCCTCTCCAAATGGGTGAGAAGATGAATTAGCTGAAAAACTTACTGCTTCTGAGGTTGCAACATTAAAACCTGGAGCAACTGGTGGTGCTATACAAAGTTATATTCAAAAAGCTAGAGCCGAGGGAGACTTGAAGCATGGCAATTTCCTGTTACTATCATCCAGCAGAGAGGACAGAATACAGCTAATTGGCCACTTTTCCTTTTAAGTTACTAACCAAATTTAAGCAAGCCGTTACTCAATACGGACCAAACTCTCCTTTTGTGCAAACTCTATTAAAAAATATGGCTCTTGATAGTAGATTAGTACCATGTGGCTGGGATACTTTGACAAAATCTGTTCTCACTCCATCTCGGTATTTGCAGTTTAAAACCTGGTAGGCTGATGAAGCTCAAACTCAGGTAAGGGAAAACATACAAGCACAGCCACCTGTGCCTGCTTCCTTTGAACAGTTAATGGGACTTGGCCCTAATGGGGTGGATTAGAGAATCAAGCAGTAATGGAGGATGTTGCCATTGTTCAGCTGTGCTTTGTGTGCTTACCAGCATGAGAAAGGATAAATGTTACAGGGAAAAAATATCCTTATGTCAGTTCTGTCTGACAAGGACCTAAAGAACTGTATATTGATTTTATTGCTCCACTCCAAGAGGCTGTGTATAAAGCCATAACGGATAAAATGGCTCAGGATGTTGTAATACAGCTTCTTGCATATGACAATACTGATGCAGAGTGTCAAACTGCTATTAGACCCCAGAGAGGGAAGCTTTATTTAGCTAAATATATTAAGGCTTGCATTGGCATTGGAGGTAACTTACATAAGGCTACTCTTTTAGCTCAGGCTATGGCTGGATTAAGAGTAGGAAAGAATATGCCCCTTTTCTCCGACTCTTGCTTTAATTGTGGGCAATTTGGACACACAAGAAAGGAACGCAGAAAAGGAAATCAAAAGCAAACATTACTACCATCAGTCAACAGAAAAGTCCCGGCATATGTCCCTGGTGTAAGAAAGGCAAAAACTGGGCAAGACAATGTCATTCTAAATTTAGCAATGATGGACAACCTCTTTCGGGAAACGGGAACAGGGGCCTGCCTTGAGCCCCTCAACAAACTGAGGCATACCCGGCACAGCCAGTGCCCTGTGCAACAACTGTCCCCTGCCTCAGCAGGCAGTGTGGCCATAGACCTCTACAGCACAATTCCTGTCTCCTTATGAGAGGTGAAGCCGGCTGGGCTTCTGAATCAGGTGGGGACTTGGGGAACTTTTCTGTCTAGCTAAAGGATTGTAAACACACCAATCAGCACTCTGTGTCTAGCTAAAGGTTTGTAAACGCACCAATGAGCGCTCTGTAAAGTGGACCAATCAGCAAGATGTGAGTGGGGCCAAATAAGGGAATAAAAGCTGGCCACCCGAGCCAGCAGCAGCAACCTGCTTGGGTCCCCTTTCATGCTGCGGAAGGTCTGTTCTTTAGCTCTTCACAATAAATGTTGCTGCTGCTCACTCTTTGGGTCCGCACTACTCTTATGAGCTGTAACACTCACGGCGAGGGTCTGCGGCTTCATTCCTGAAGTCAGCGAGACCACGAACCCACCAGGAGGAACAAACAACTCTGGACACGCCACCTTTAAGAGCTGTAACACTCACTGTGAAGGTCTATGTCTTCACTCCTGAAGTCAGCGAGACCACAAACCCACTGGAAGGAAGAAACTCCAGACACATCTGAACATCTGAAGAAACAAACTCCAGACACACCATCTTTAAGAACTGTAACACCACGAGGGTCCGTGGCTTCATTCTTGAAGTCAGCAAGATCAAGAACCCACCAGAAGGAACCAATTCCGGACACACTTCCTGGGGAGCCACCAAAGAAGGTCCCCATGGGAGTTAGGGGACCCTTATCCTCAGGAACAGTCGGTCTATGACTTGGAAGGTCTAGTCTAAATTTAAAAGGTATGCCAGGCACGGTGACTCACGCCTGTAATCCCAGCACTTTGGGAGGCCAAGGCAGGCAGATCACGAGGTCAGGAGATCGAGATCATCCTGGCTAACATGGTGAAACCCATCTCCACTAAAAAATACAAAAAAAAAAAAAAAAAAAAAAATAGCCGGGTGCCTGTAGTCCCAGCTAGTCGGGAGGCTGAGGCAGGAGAATGGCGTGAACCTGGGAGGTGGAGCTTGCAGTGAGCCAAGATTGAGCCACTGTACTCCAGCCTGGGAGACAGAGTGAGATTCCATCTCAAAAAAAAAAAAAAAAAAAAAAATTTAAAAGGTGTTACTGTACATACGGGAATAATTGACTCTGATTATACCAGAAAAATTCAATTAGTTATTAGTCCCTTGACTCCATGGTCTGCCTCCCCAGGAGAAAGAATTGCTCAGTTGCTGTTACCTTACATAAAACTAGGAAGCAGCGGCCGGGCGCGGTGGCTCAAGCCTGTAATCCCTGCACTTTGGGAGGCCGAGACGGGCGGATCACGAGGTCAGGACATCGAGACCATCCTGGCTAACATGGTGAAACCCCGTCTCTACTAAAAAATACAAAAAATAGCCGGACGAAGTGGCGGGCGCCTGTAGTCCCTGCGACTCGGGAGGCTGAGGCAGGAGAATGACGTAAACCCGGGAGGCGGAGCTTGCAGTGAGCTGAGATCCGGCCACTGTACTCCAGCCTGGGCGACAGCGCGAGACTCTGTCTCAAAAAAAAAAAAAAAAAAAAAAAAAACAGGAAGCAGCACAG